CCTGGTCTCTGATACGTGGAGATTACACACAAACCGTAAAACATTGTTTCCAAAACTTTTCCGTTACTGAAACACTTCGCACATTCTGAGTATTTAGCGGGACGCTTATTTTTCAGAGAGATTAATTCATGTGTGGCCTGCTAGTTAATTATTCCAGTAGTTTGTTTAGCACAGTTTGGGAAACACTGCAATAAAAGATGATGTGATGCTGTTCCTATTAATCTCACAAGGTTGCTATTCCCATTTAATGCGTATTGTGGCCTAGAGTAAAGTAACAATACATTTTATGTTGCAATTGTTCCCTTGTAGGGCCAGCTGTCTTCTGACCACCAACATTGCTTCGACCAAGCCTTCAGTGACCTTCTCTAGCTACACTGGCAACCTGTTTGACCCTGACATCATCTGCCAGAGAGCTCTTAATGACTCCAGGACTTACATGTGCAAGGTATGTCCACTACAAAAGATATACAACTATAAAGTTCTATAATCTCATAACAAAATTCTAAGGGCAAAATTGATTCGTGATATTTAATGAACCTTAGAGAAAGTGTAGAAATATAAATAGTTGTGCACTATCCGATTCTCCAGATTTCCTATACTTCTGGCCCGTGAATTCTAGTATCCCTCACATTGAAATAGAGAATAGGTCATACACATACCTTTGGCCCGTAAATAGATTAATGGGGGAAAATAGACCTATGGTCGTTTTGAAATGTAAATGTTGACTGTATTTTTAAAATGTTTCTGCTTTTGTCCCATGGGCCCGTCCGCACCATGCGGGCCGTCCCCCTCATAACGCTACTTATTATACTCAGTCCTCTTTGTATGTTTCAGAGTCTGCCTCAGATCTACAAGAACTTGTTGCCCAAAGGTAACGCTGTGTGTGGTCAGATCTACTGCAGAATCCCTAATACCATGACCTGCACTCCTGTCTACACCTCTGACGGAATGGTTTGCGATAACCAGAAAGTAAGACTCGTTATAAAGTCTAGGTCTAGGTCGGGTCGAGAGCTACATATGGCCACATGATGACAGTGTCTTGCAAACGGAAATTTTAACTTTTGATATCTGTCCCTAATGTTCAAGTAATGGTAACTGAGTTTCTGAATAAATAATATAAGCGTTTTAAACAGGGGGAGGAGCTGTTTGTGTTGTTAACGAAGTCACGTGATTATATTTTTATGAGAATTATAAAAACACTAAATTCTACACGTTGTAACTTTAACCAATCAGAGCATGAGTTTATAATCCTATTTGTGTATCTTTGTTTGATATTTGGGAATTATTGATATAGACTTGAATTGCGCATTTCACTGAAAGTCTACACTTGCAAACAGTCAGCAGGTTATAAAGTTATAAAGACGAAAAAAGGTATGAACATATATATTCTACTGTAATCTCAAACGCATATAAAACGGTTCTTCAGCCAACAAGACCACCCAGCCGTAAACAATTAAACATTCAATATCTTTCATTCAAAATAACGTTTGAAATGAAAATAATTGTATTGAGGCACATTTCTTATTCTATAATCTAGAACTATTTCATACAAAGTGCTCCCCATTCCCTTAGAGGATGAAGTGTGTTGTTTGAATCAGCCAGGAAAACCAACGACTTAGCAGAGTTTGAGTCATTGATTAACATGCATGACTAGATTGACACATGAAATGCGTAGGACGTAATTATCTTCTTTTTTTTTGAAGTAACGTCTGTAATATATAAGATAAGATACAAAGATACGAAAAACAATTAGAACTAACAAGTAATTAACTAGTCAGTTGTTTTTTTTTTAGCAGAAACAAAATGTTGTCGCTGCTCCTATTCAATTCGAAACAAACAAATCAACGCGCAAAAACAATTATACACAAATTATAATAAAACAATTTATATGCACATTTCAGAGATGTTCTGTAGGACAGTGCTCCTCCTATTCCACACCAGTCGTTGACAGTAAGTCATTCTAATTTCTTGTAACCATTTCAGAAACAAAAGTTTGTTTATTTTACATGTTTCGGATATTTCTTCCCGGTGGTAGTGTATTTGAAAGTCCAAACCTCCCGCACGACGAAGGGAGGGGGAGGGGAAGGCAGGGTTCAGAGTATGAACCCAGGACCTCGACAAGCTCGAACGACAGTCCAGAGCGCATACCGCACCACCAGGCACCCACCCACAGCAGACACAAAAATGTCTCTTAAACTATTAAGTACATGCCAAACTTTCATGTGCCAATTTGACTGACTGAGACAGGCTTTGGGATCTTCTTTATTCCCCTTAAATTAGTAATTAGTAGATAACCAATACTAAGTATTTCAAAATGTGTATTTCAAAATGTGTATTTCAAAATGTGTATTTCAAAATGTGTATTTCAAAATGTGTATTTCAAAATGTGTATTTCAAAATGTGCATTTCAAAATGCGCATTTCAAAATGCGCATTTCAAAATGTGTATATCATTAAATAATAATAATAATAATAATAGTATTTTCAATGTTTTCTTTCACTGTTTACTATAAGCCGAATTCTTCTAATATTTTGATTTTTATTAATATTACTAATGAACCTAAAATTTTCTTCATAAAGTACATTGTGACCCACACCTTCCTCTGCATTAGGACGTTTGACTATTTCCAATGCATTTGTAAATCTACTATGACGCTCATTGTTTCCTGGTTAAACCTCTCTGTGAACATTCTTTGTGTGTGCGTGCATGTGCGTGCGTGTGTGTGCGCGCGTGTGCGTGTTATCTGGGAGAAGTTTTTAAAGCTCTGCCTTTAGACACTCAGCGAACACAACTCAGCTTGAGTTAAATTATTATTTCAAGTAAGTCTACAACGGGGTTCGAACTCGAGCCCCCTTCAGTTAGGTAGCCAGTCACACGTTCTGTTATTTCATATTCTCCTTTGAAGGTTTTAACTATTCAGCTTAAAAAATTATTGTCATTTAACAATCTGTAACTCTCTTACAGCCAACTGTGTATTTGGTGATCAGAAAAAATTGGAATTCCCAACTGTCCCCTTCTATGGGACATGCCAAGCCTTTATCAGCCTGTACGGCGCTCTGAACTGCTACTCATCTCCAATCAATGAATCCTGCTGCAGCACGTGCAAGACTTACACTAGCGGAAGAGTTGGTAAGTCTCCCTGGCTCATGTAAACATTCACACTGGCGCCGCGTCGTAAATGAAAAAAAAACAGGTATAAAAAAAAGCAAATGTAAAAAAAAAAATCCTTTAAAAAACAAAAACAAAAGATAAACAGAGTTTATCTAAGAGAAAGAACTTTGCAATTTCAACTATATCACTCAAGAATGTAGAAGTTGTTTCCATTATTCGGTATCAAAGGAAATTATTCATTACTAATGATTAATTAATTTGAAAAGTATTTAATTGATTCATGTTTTGTTAGGTACAATAACTTTTTTTTTTTAAGTTTCAACTTGTTCTTAAAATTGTTGTGGGAAAAATTAAGTGTAATTCTTCTTAAGTAGACGAAACCCGACATATTTAAGCATAACTATGAATACTGGAAGATTATTTTCCTTGTTGGTATCAAACACAATAATTAATAAGCAGTAATTAATTGACTAATTGATTAATTATTTTTTTGATTCATGTATTGTTTACGCCACTGAATAATTGTGCAGAGTTTCGACTTGATCAAGGATTGGGTGTGGGAGAAATAACGTGTTCAAAGGTTTTACCAGACAGACCGAAAGACAGACAGAAAGTGTTAGTTGATATAAGCTTTGTAATAACGTGATAAAGCAAACATGGAAAATAAAGATCTCCCGAGTTTGTCTAGTGAAGAATCGAGTACGTGTACACAAGGCAAGGAAGACATATACGCTCGCTAAAACGTTCGTCCATGTACAGTGGATAACTACCACATCACCTCGCCTCAGGCTATATCTCACTGCTTCTCCATTTATGAACCTCCTATCTTTACTTTCATTATTTAGGGGTGACTTTAGCACCCAATACAGAGATTTTGACTTAAAAAACACATACTCACATTGAATAGGTTACACTTAGTACATCAATATCATCTTTTGTGGCAGATCTAATTTTTGTTGCAATTCCTCTTATTAGCTTCTGAATTCTTCGTCAATAAAAAGGAGAAAGCTAAAAACAAAAACCTGAACATGGATCTCGAAAACGGGTCTAACTCTTCTTCTAGAAATCTTTGGAAAAAGAATTACTAGCTAATTGGCCCCACAGGGGAAACTCTGGTTTGACCGTTAATAGTTGTAGGTACACCGTACAACTATTTAAGTACTGACTAATCGTTACGTAAGTTTTACACCTAATATTGGTTTATTTCCGTAGGCTGTGAATATGGTGACAAATCCTTTGACTGTGTGAAGTACACCAAGGCTTCCATATGCCCCACATATAAGAACACTCTTTGCTGCGGATATTGCTAGTAAGTTGGGTTTATTTTGAGTAGCAAAAGAATAACACTAGATAAACTTCTAAACCTTATTATATTTTTTTCTAAGTCATTTCATTCGTCTATTGACATGCTTATTTTTACATGATTTTAGTTATATTAGCTTGTGAACAAACATCTATCTATCTATCTATCTATCTATCTATCTAAACTTATTTAATTTAATCTAATCTAATCTTATATTATCTTATGCATGTTATCTTATCTTATCTTATCTATCTTATCTTATCTATCTAATCTTATCTATCTAATCTTATCTAATCTATCTTATCTTATCTATCTTATCTTATCTTATCTATCTATCTATCTATCTATCTATCTATCTATCTATCTATCTATCTAAACTTATTTAATCTAATCTAATCTTATCTTATGCATGTTATCTTATCTTATCTTATCTTATCTTATCTATCTATCCAATTATCTTTCATTGGTCTTTCTATATGTTTAACCAAATCCTTAAAGGCAACAAACCTTTTTAAATTCTTGCGTACGCCTCCTCTAGTAACTACGTCGGCAAGAGATCCCCATCGGATGAGCCAGTTCAGAAGTTAAACACCACTCTTCCAAATATAATCGGTCAGAAGCTAGACATCATGTCCTTTGAAGAATTCAACAGCCAGCCCTAGTTCCTTCATTGACTTCTTGTTCATGTATACAAAGTTTAATTTGTGGTAATATGCTATCTCATAGTAAGCAGCGTAGATCTTGTATAATGACAAATTTAAAATATATATTTCTTTTCTTTATATAGTAGGGATATTGGTAAATATGAACAAGAATGGTGATGTAGACGAACGAATAACTTGTTGTTGCTAATATCTGATCATGTTGTATTTGGTTAATATTAAATAGTGCATTCTGCCATAACTATTATAAATTGTTACAATGTAAAGCTTTATAGTAATACTAATAGTTTCTGCTTATGTTTCCGTTCTACGAAATGTTAAGTATTTGGAGATTTGTACGATAAACTGAACAATGTCCAGGATGAACAGGATGTTAAAGTGAACTTTGATGTTGTCAGCAGTATAGAGCTATAGAAGGAAGAGCTTAGATTTAACATAAGATAATAATTGTGTTACTTTATTGTAGCATGCATTAATTTTCAATTATATATTTTATTGTTAATAAGCTTTTGCTTTTTTTAATAAATAAATATCAATAATTAATATCCTCTTCATTCTTTCGTTTATTCATTCATTTATTATTAATAGTTAAGTTCCCCTTTCGGACCTAGTGATCTATGGGGAAGATGATGTAAAGGTCATCTGTTCCTATGGCCCACGGTTAACGAGGGTGCCATGCGGCCTGCACAACGACCAACCGCCTTTACTTTTCCCCAACTAATGTCAGGTTCTCATTAGAGCTGGGTGGACTCTGAGGCGCCCGAAGATCCCGAAATTAAAAATCCCAGGATTCAAGCACTTTACCGCTCAGCCACTGCGCCTCATTATTATTAGTTACAATATGATTATTTGAGTAATAATGGAGTAATTGTCCCATGATAATATATCCAATATTTATTGCTACCTGTCAGATTATTTTCAGACGATTTCATAGTATATAGAACAATAAAAACAACACAAGATACTGACATTTTACAAATTAGAAGAATTACAGAAATGGGAATTCAATTGGAGCACGTCTTTTCACTCAGAGAAATGCTAGTTATTAAGAGTAACAATAAAAAAAAATAAAACAAAAAAAAGCTACTAACTTCATTCATGGTAAACCAGTCACACAGACTAAAAACTCAAAATATCTAGGTGTAATAATAAATGAAAAGTTATCATCATATTGATGGAATTATTTTAAAAATCGAGCAAAACAAATTTTTACATAAGAAACAAGAGCATAAACTTAAATGCTACTAAACTTTAGCTATGCCAATATTAGAATATGCATCCTCTCATAACAGCAGAAAAAAAGAAACTAGAACAAATACAAAATAGTGCAGTCATATTTATAACAAACGAATAATCAAACTTGATTAGAGTAACGCCATTCGTAAAATCACTACATTTCAAGACACTTCAGGACAGTCGTATAGCATAGTAACTGTAATACCAAAAACACTAAACCATAATTTACAAATAGAAAAACAAAACCTAATGAAACACCCAGAAAGAAAGAAAGTTACATTTCCAATTCCATAATTTAGAACGGATTCGTACAAGTGCTCCTTCTTCCCTAGTGCCATTATAGAATGGAAAGAGTTGCCTTAATCAGCCTGGAAAACCAACGACTTAGCATATTTTATGTCATTGATTAACATGCATGGCTAGATTGACACATCAAATGCATTGGACGTAAATGCCTTCTTTTTTTGAATTAACGTCTGTAATATATAAGATAAAATAAGATAATAAAATAAGATATCATAAGAAAAGAAAAGAAGTATAAATCTAATGTAGCTGAGCTCAGCTCTATATGTTCTGCATGTGTCCAGCGTGTCAGAAGGTCATGTCCAATTATTAATTCACTTCAATTTATTGCTCATTCCCCACAAGATTGACAGGTATCTGTCTCCGTTGGGTTTTCTTTAGCCGGTCTTCACTTTGTATGCACTGAACCAGGGACGGACTGGGTGTCAAAATTAGCCAGGGCATTTCTATACGAGCCAGCCCACAGATTATATGCCATGTAATGAGAATTTAATCATTTATTTTACATTACATATCCTCAAATTTATTATGGTATGTTTGATAAAGTATCGAAAACTGGGTTCACGTAACATATACAGTATTTGTAGATGTAGGTATCCTGAAAAGCTAAACATATGATTTAACTTTTGAAACTATTTGAAATTATTGTATAGTGTGTAACACTTGAAATTGAAACTTTCTTGGCGTGAAAAAATCATTTTACTACTTTATTGTACATTAACATATAAATGTGCATGATATTTGCATACAAGTACATATTTAGCTTTATATGTGAATACTGGAGGATTATTTTCCCTTGTTAGTACAAAAAATAATTACCAGTAATTAAAAGACCATTTTTAAAATTGATTCATGTTCGGCATCAAAAAGTTAAGTTCCCTTTCAGGCCTTGTGGTCTATAGGGCAGATGCTGTAAAATTCCATGGTGCCATGTCACCAGCACAGCGACCAACCGCCTTTACTTTTCCCCAACTAATGTCAGGTACCCATTATAGCTTGGCTTGGGTCAATGTTGAGTCGTGAGAGATATTCGAGGCAGAAGTGTATGTACATTTGTGAATGGCTTGATGGCCTTCTAATAATGAACCGTTTTGTTTAACACTAGACATCAACAGAATGATGGTTAACACTCTAAAGAAATTGGCTGTTCTGACATAAAAAGTCGGATACACTGTTATGGTGTGTGTGTTTGTGTTTCCAAGGTGATTATGAAGAAAGGAAGTTTTTATTGTTAGTTGTAGAATGAGACCATTAATTTAATGTTAGTCTTGTAGAATGATGTTCTCCAAGACAATGATGTTCTCTAAGACTATGATGTTCTCTAAGACTATGATGTTCTCTAAGACTATGATGTTCTCTAAGACTATGATGTTCTCCAAGACTATGGTGTTCTCTAAGACTGATGTTCTCCAAGACTATGATGTTCTCTAAAACTATGATGTTCTCTAAGACTATGATGTTCTCTAAGACTATGATGTTCTCTAAGACTATGATGTTCTCTAAGACTATGATGTTCTCTAAGACTATGATGTTCTCTAAGACTATGATGTTCTCTAAGACTATGATGTTCTCTAAGACTGATGTTCTCCAAGACAATGATGTTCTCTAAGACTATGATGTTCTCTAAGACTATGATGTTCTCTAAGACAATGATGTTCTCTAAGACTATGATGTTCTCTAAGACTGATGTTCTCCAAGACAATGATGTTCTCTAAGACTATGATGTTCTCTAAGACTATGATGTTTTCTAAGACTATGATGTTCTCTAAGACTATGATGTCTCTAAGACTATGATGTTCTCCAAGACAATGATGTTCTCTAAGACTATGATGTTCTCTAAGACTATGATGTTCTCTAAGACTATGATGTTCTCCAAGACTATGATGTTCTCTAAGACTATGATGTTCTCTAAGACTATGATGTTCTCTAAGACTATGATGTTCTCCAAGACTATGATGTTCTCTAAGACTATGATGTTCTCTAAGACTATGATGTTCTCTAAGACTATGATGTTCTCTAAGACTGATGTTCTCCAAGACAATGATGTTCTCTAAGACTATGATGTTTTCTAAGACTATGATGTTCTCTAAGACTGATGTTCTCCAAGACAATGATGTTCTCTAAGACTATGATGTTCTCTAAGACTATGATTTCTCTAAGACTATGATGTTCTCTAAGACTGATGTTCTCCAAGACAATGATGTTCTCTAAGACTATGATGTTCTCTAAGACTATGATGTTTTCTAAGACTATGATGTTCTCTAAGACTATGATGTCTCTAAGACTATGATGTTCTCCAAGACAATGATGTTCTCTAAGACTATGATGTTCTCTAAGACTATGATGTTCTCTAAGACTATGATGTTCTCCAAGACTATGATGTTCTCTAAGACTATGATGTTCTCCAAGACTATGATGTTCTCTAAGACTATGATGTTCTCCAAGACTTTGATGTTCTCTAAGACTATGATGTTCTCCAAGACTATGATGTTCTCTAAGACTATGATGTTCTCCAAGACTATGATGTCGTAAGCTATATTAAGTACGCGAGACCAATCCAGGATACCAGAGCGTAAAAACGTGTTTTTATTGTGAGTTAGATTTGTTTAAATATCAGTTTATTTGTTTTCATCTCTAGCAAATTTTTTTTATATATATTGTAATAAAAGCTAAATTTAGTTTTGTTCACAAAGAAGTTATTGGAATTATTTCAAGTTTTATAAATTAAAATATAAAACGCCTACAGCAGTTAAGCTGTCTAGCAGCAGTCCACGATCGTGAACAACATACACCCTAGAACAGCATTCCCAAGACCTTTAGCTGTCTAGCAGCAGTCCACGATCGTGAACAACATACACCCTAGAACAGCTTTCCCAAGACGTTTAGCTGTCTAGCAGCAGTCCACGATCGTGAACAACATACACCCTAGAACAGCATTCCCAAGACGTTTAGCTGTCTAGCAGCAGTCCACGATCGTGAACAACGTACACCCTAGAACAGCATTCCCAAGACGTTTAGCTGTCTAGCAGCAGTCCACGATCGTGAACAACATACAACCTAGAACAGCATTCCCAAGACCTTTAGCTGTCTAGCAGCAGTCCACGATCGTGAACAACATACACCCTAGAACAGCATTCCCAAGACGTTTAGCTGTCTAGCAGCAGTCCACGATCGTGAACAACATACACCCTAGAACAGCATTCCCAAGACGTTTAGCTGTCTAGCAGCAGTCCACGATCGTGAACAACATACACCCTAGAACAGCATTCCCAAGACCTTTAGCTGTCTAGCAGCAGTCCACGATCGTGAACAACATACACCCTAGAACAGCATTACCAAGACGTATGCCAATGAACATTTTGAATTGATTTTGTTGCAGTAGCTTCCAGCCAAAACATTTTTAAAATGTCCAGCTTAGGCCACGAAATGTTGACAAACAATTTAATGATTTATTTTATTGAACATTGAATTTTAAAAACTTAATTAATATTTAATTAATAATTAATTATGGATTTATTTTATTAAAATACAATATGTTTTTGTACTTCAAACAACAACAACAACAAAAAAAAAAAGACTTCGAGCCCTTTCTTGTCAATACATGTGAGAAAAGCTCATCTAGATCTTCTATATATTAAAAGCATGTTTGGGTATCTAGATACAACTACTT